GCTGAGGCAGAAGGCTCGCTGAAGCCCAGCAGGTTGACGCTGGGGTAGCTATGAGTGTGTCATGGCACTTTAGCCTGGGCGACAGAGTGAGACTCCAACTAAATAAAAAAATTAAAAAAAAAAAAAGACTGTTCATAAGGGTAGGAATTTCTCTGTTTTACTAATTACTGCATCCCCTTCACCTAGAATGGTCTCTAACCCATCACTATCAATAAGTACTTGTTGAATGTGTATATAAAAAGATTATAAGGAATTAAAGGAACATATGAGGAAGAATAAAATAATTCCTTATAATTTCATCATTCAGAGAGTTAACATTTTGGCATTTTCCTTTCCAGTTGCTTTCTACGTATTTTTTATGTGGGTGACATACAAAGGATAGAGAAACATGTTAAATAACACCTAGGAGTGCAATCAGTAACATTCAGAATGTGGAGCATTCCATAATACAAATCACCTACATTCTTCCACAAATAAATGGTGTCTAGTTAGGTTTCCTAAAAAAGCAGGGAATTGGCATGGAAGGACTGAGAAAAGTTGTTTGACTTTTCTGTTTCCCTCCTGTTTAGGATGGAAACTCAATTAAAGGGTGTGTTACCAAGTAGATTGCTGCTGTAGATAACCAGGGCTCAATTTCCCCAGTTCATCTGAGAGACCATGTTGTCTATATATCAGAATTGCTAACCAATTCCCAGCAAAGAGTGTTCACTCCTTTGCACCTCCAATTGTCTGCACATGCTGACATGGTTGAGTGTGCTCCTACAGGTATCCCGTGCTACAGCAGCAGAGATGCCCTAAAGCAGAAAGCAATAGGTGCACAGTGTAGCTGAGGTTTCATCCTGTCAGGCTACATCTCTATAGCAGTAACTGCCACAGTAACAGCCTGAGGAAAAAACTGAAGTGAGAAATGTGAGACAACACATATACATGTCTTGCATAAATGGCAAGAAAAAAATTAAAAAGAAAATACCTCTAGATAAAGGAAGACTTAAGAGATACACCAATCAAATGCAGTGTGGACGTTGATCTAAACAAATCAACTATAAAAAATATTTTTTAGATAGGAAAATATGAACAGTGCATGGATATTTGCTATTAAGAAATGACTGCAGCCAGGCTCGGTGGCTCAGCCTGTGATTCCAGCACTTTGGGAGGCTGAGGTGAGTGGACTGCCTGAGCCCATGGGTTTGAGACCCACCTGGGCAACTTGGCAAGACTTCATCTCTACAATAAATTAGCCAGGTGTGGTAGTGCGTGACTGTAGTTCCAGCTACTTGGAAAGCTGAGGCGGAAGGATCGCCAGAGCCCAGCAGGTTGAGGCTGCGGTGGCCGGGAGCGGCCACTGCACTCCAGTCTGGGCGACGGAGTGAGACTCCAACTCAAAAAAAAAAAAAAGAAATGACTGCTATTTTTTAAATTGTAACTTTTAAAAATTATATTTCAATTTTATTTAAAATTATATGTTCTTATATTTTAGAGAGACACATAGAAGTATTTATAGGTTGTATAATATAACGTCTTGAATTGGCTTTAAAACAATCTGGGGTGAGGAGACTAAGTAAAAGAAGTTATAGATGAAATAAGACTGGCAATGTACAACCCCCCAAAACTCAGAATATATTTATAAAAAGTTGTTTCTTTTTCTTTTTTTTTTTTTTTTTTTG